CTGAAAACAATTGGTTGGCAAATATTGTCCCGGTTCTCAAAAAGAATAAAAAAAATCAGAATCTGCATTGACTTCAGAGATCTGAATACCGCTTGTCATAAAGACGATTTTCCTCTACCGATTACAGACGTCACCATTGACAATACATGCGGATTCGAGAGAATGTCATTTATGGACGGATTTTTGAGATACAACCAAATTAAGATGCATCCGGATGATGAAAAACATACTGCGTTCAGAACACCCCTAGGCGTTTTCTGTTATACGGTCATGCCTTTTGGCCTAAAGAACGCCGGCGCTACATACCAACGAGCGATGACGAAGATCTTTTAGGAATACCTTCGGAAGACCGTCGAATGCTATGTTGATGATCTGGTTGTTAAAAGTTGTGACAAGAACGACCACATTAACGATTTAAAGACGATGTTCAATCTTATGAGGAATCATCAGTTGAAGATGAACCCCACTAAGTCCTTCCTTAGAATGTCCAGTGGTAAATTTCTTAGATTTGTCATCACTACAAAAGGTATCCATATCGATCTTGACAAGGTGAAGGCAATACATGAATTGCAGCCCCCGAGGAATCTTAAAGAACTCAGAGGATTGCAAAGGCAATTGGCTTATATTCGTCGGTTCATCTCGAACCTTTCGGGAAAATGTCAGTCGTTCTCTAAACTCACAAAGAAGGGCGTGTCATTTATTTAGGATGAAACATGTCAAAAAGCGTTCGAGGATATCAAAACATATCTAGCGAATCCACACATCCTCATCGCACCGAAGTCGGACAGACCGTTTTTGATTTATGTCAAAGCGACGAGCCATTCGTTAAGTGCATTGCTTGCACAAGACGACGATAACGATCATGAGCAAGCGGTATATTATCTCAGTCGTATGTTGGTAGGTGCTGAATCTCGCTATCCGATGATCGAAAAGAAATGCTCGCTCTGGTATTCGTGATCCAGAAAATACGACATTATTTAGTTGGACAGACAATTTATGTCATTTCCAACGTAGACCCAATTAAAGTATTCATGACCCAGCCGGCCTCTATGAATTGGCGTTTAGACAGGTGGGCCCTACTCTTATCCGAATATGATTTACATTTTAAACAGCAAAAATCAGTTAAAGGACAAGCGATTTGCGATCTTTTGGTGATAAACCCTACAAAGGATACAGCAGAATTATACAATGATTTGCCGGATGAAACTCATGAAGTTAATATCACATCACATCAACAAGTATGACAATTATACTTCGATGGTGCTTCCTGGGCAACCAACGTGGCAAACGCTTCCGGATGTTCTAAGATTTCCTCAGGAGTGGGGGTCGTTTTGGTTTCCCCGGGAAAAACACGTAATGCCTAGAGCGTATTCGTTGACCGAACCATGCTCTAATAATGTATCTGAATATAATGCACTAATAATTGGACTTCATTTTGCTAAAGAGCTGGGGGTTGAATACCTTGAAGCTTTTGGTGATTCTCAGCTGATAATCAATCAAGTTCGAGGAGAATATGAAGTCAGAAGCCCGGATCTGATTCCATATTACCAGGCGGCTGTAGAAATGGTAGACTCGTTCGAAGGATTCTTCATCGAGTATATTCCACGTCTCCAAAATGCATATGCAGACGCATTGGCGGCGTTAGCCGTGTCTTTGGCTCAGCCTCCCGAGACGGAACAATTAGTCACAGTGAGAACTCACGACCTTATTGTGTCGATTTCCGACATGATTGTCAAAGAGGCGCATGCTTAACAAGAGTCAAACTCGAAGCTCGAGATTGGCGTTTTTCTATTATCGATTACGTCCTACACGGTATTTTACCTGAAGATGTAAGAGAAAGGGATTCGGTTCGGCGAAGAGCACCGAGATTTTACTACAACACTACAACACAAATATTGTATCAATATTCGTATGATGGTCTATTACTCTGTTGTCTATCTAATAGAGAAGCGAAAGAGGCACTCAAAGAAGCACATGACGGAACATGTGGTGCACACCAACCAGGTCCTAAACTTTGCGATCGACTCAGAAGGATGGGATATTACTGGCCAACCATGGTGAAGGACGCAGTGGACTATGCCCGACAGTATCATGCATGTCAAATACATGTAAATTATATGCACCAACCTTCGGAGCATTTACACCCATCAGCGACATCATGGCCATTCGAGACATGAGGAATGGATATTGTATGTCCTATTTTCTCGCCTTCAGTCAAAGGTGATCGCTTCATTCTGGTAATCACCGATTACTTCTCAAAATGAGCCGAAGCAGTCCCACTTAAAGAAGTGAAAACGAGCAATGTTGTCAAATTTATTAAACACCATATCATATATCGATATGGTGTCCCGAGACGAATAGTGCATGACAATGGTCCTCAATTCGTCAGTAACACGTTCATCAAATTCTACAGTAAATTCGGAATTCAGGATGTCTCGTCAACTGCTTATAATCCCACCGCTAACGGATTGGCTGAAGCACTTAATAAGACAATTATCAAGATTTTGACAAAACTTGTAAAAGTCAATAAGCGAGACTGGGACGACAAACTTGGTGAAGCTCTGTGGGCTTATCGTACCACTGTACATACGCTAACCGGAACAACCCCATATTCTCTAGTATATGGTTCTTGCCAATAATCTAGGAAGCAGTGTTTGTTCATAAGTTATAATGCTTGTCTTGAAGGGTTCATTGTTAGATGTAGACCTCTATTATTTTTAGATGGAACATTTCTTAAAGACCGCTACAAAAGTATATTACTTAGTGCCACGGGATATGATGATAACCAAGGAATATTTTCTCTTGCTTATTGTGTGCGACTAAAATAACGAGGAGAATTGAAAATGGTTCTTACAAGGAGTATGGTCCATACTATATGATAGGGAAAATCCTTACAATCCTCTACATCAACGGGTCATGAATTCTGATGCCGACAAGGGTATTAGGGTAGCAGCCGAAGAATTCTTTCCAAATACATTCAATTCTAGGTGTGTTCTACATCTAGACAAAAAATTTAAAAAAATATGTAGGAGTTAGGTTACAAAGCAAGAGTCACTCAAATATTGGGTGATTTATTACAAACTGTGGCTTATATAAGTTCGCAATTGCCGATTGAGATGATTACATAAAAGAATTGGCCTTGATAGATGCAATGGCTTATGTTACTGCAATGAATTACTCCCAATAGAGATGATCAAACGCTTATTTCCCTTGTATAATGTATGATACTATTATTTCTACTTTAGTTGTTAATGTTACAAGTTAGTTGTTAAGGTTATAATTCTATTGTTAAGTATAAAGATTGATTGTTAAATTTATAGAATAGTCGTTATCTTTACAGAGTGGTTGTTAAGTTTACAAATGGGTTGTTAAGGTTAGGATTTAGTTGTTAAGGTTACAGTTTATTTGTTAAGTTTATATAGTGGTTGTCAATGTTACATATTGGTTGTTAAAGTTACAGATGAGTTGTTAAGGTCAATGTTTAGTTGTTAAGATTACAAATGGGTTGTTAAGATTATAGCTTAGTTAATAAGTTTACAGCTTAGTTGTTAATGTTACAGTTCATATGTCAAACTTATGAGTTTTTTCATGTGATTTACAGATATGGCTATGTTACTTTGAACGTTGCAGAGTCCTTCAATAGTTAGATAAAAAAGACATGAATGTTACGAATCTTATATTTGGTTGAGACGATACGAAAGAAAATCATAGAGCGCATGTATGATAGAAGGCTCATGGCAGCGAAATGGTCTGGATACTTATGTCTAGAAGTGGAGATAGTGTTGAGTGATAATATTTATCATAGAAACTACTTACATATTAAATATTCAAAGAAGATATTGTGGATATTGAATCTAATAAAACTTACCATGTAGATTTAAAGAATTCGACATGTTCATGCAGGTCTTGGGATATCACACACATTCCTTGTAAGCACGTTTGTGCTGCAATTACTTAGATTGGACGAGATATTTATCAATACTGTGATTGGTTTATGACTGTTAAAGCATTTTCAGGACAAGTTATGAACCAATCATCTTTCCTATTCCAGATTATGAGAAGCGTATTGTACCACCAGAAGACCGTCAGTTTAAGGCACTCATTACCAAAAAAGGCTCTCATTGTAATGGCATTTATTGCACTCTTTAATAGCATTTAGTGCAATAAATAGGTTTTTAGTTTTTAGGCTAAGGAGGTTTTTATTAGAATGATTCGAGATACATTGAGGTAGTGAATCTGGATTCACTGCGTTGAGGTAATTAATGAGGTAATTAATGTATGTGTCTGTTGACTGAATCCCAGCTATTGGATTCATCTAGATCCAATGGATGAAGGAGGTGTTTAATTTTTAGGCTAAGGAGGTTTTTATTAGAACCTCTCCCTATATATATATAGAGATTAATGAGTATCCTTGTCATAGGAGGGGATTTCCTCCTTGACGCCACTAAAATCACATGATTGAGTGACATTGTGGATAATCCGCTCCGTTGAACTTGATCTACATATTCTAAAACCCCAACACACCAAGTTTGGGGTGAAACCGTCGTCGTTTGACCATTCATCCACTCGTATCAATTTTAACGGTTTTGAATGAACAGAACTTTTCACATGGCTCGATGGAGGGTCAAACGACGACGGATTCACCCCAAACTTGGTGTGTTGAGGTTTTAGAATATGTAGATCAAGTTCAAATAGAACTACAGGTGGTTACGGTCCATTAACAAGAGGATCCTCAAACCCAAAATCATTCAAAAAGCAAAGTTCTAAAATCCTAATGCCTAAAATTTGGTGTAAGTTTTTATTTGGCCCAGTGCTTTCTACTAACAGGTCAATCTAAGATGGATAAAAAATTTAAATATATCAATAAAAAAAAGAAGACAGACGACTTTATTGAATCTAAATCACAGTGAAATCATGTGCAATCCTCACATCTCTGCATGCAAATTACGAACTGACTACTGATAATTTTTTTTTTTTTTTTTTGCCCTTC